TTGTACCCTGGCTACAACTTTAGGTGATGGATATTCAAATCCTTGTGATTTTGTCACAGATCAGGAGGGAGGATCTTCAAGGTTCTGTTTTATTTTTCCACGTGATGATCCTAATAACAGAGTTGGAAGGGACCTTGGACCTCAACTCAACAGCCATTTGTTTAGTTACAGCGGCATTGAAAAAATGATTTATGTCTGGTCCTCGCACTTAGGACCATCATGGCACCCCTACAGTCAGCAGGTAGATCCCTCCTCAGGTCTTCTTTTGAGTGCTTGGGCCACCATACTGATGATGCTACCTAGCCTGGTATTAAGACGTCTGCAGGAAAACAACCAAGTTCAGAGGAACCTGACAGTGCAACAATTCTTCCTGTCTGCTTGTTCCAGATTTGCCAGGTATTACAAGCAGCCGGGTGGAAGGGAGGAAAGGACCCTGATCAAAGCTTACGGCATCCGTTTCGACATCCTCATCTTTGGCACGGTAAACGCTTTTCCCCCTAAGTCTTCATTTTAGGTGAGGAAACCCCCCCATCGTTCCAATGAGAAATATCCCTCTCTCCACTCTGGGTGGGATTGTAAGTCAATCCCTGGTCCGGAGATCCCAATTGGGGTGTGTCTCTAGCAGCCCATGTGGAGAATTTAAATCTTCTTAAAGTCTTGATCCTGAATATTTCCCACTTCCCTCTCCTTCGGATGGGAACTGCCATTGATGCAGTGGAATGTAGTCTGGATTCCCAGGAAGGGAGGGAGGGGCTGTGTTCCAGAGGACCAAGAGACAATGAGGATTACTGTATTTTTCCATCTACAAGACGCCCCCATGTATAGGACACCCCCATGTTTCAAGTAGTTTCTTGTAAGCACACTACAAGCCATCGCTGTGCAGAAGCCATCTTATAAGAGAGGGAGTAATACAATAACAGGTAATGCACTATAGGAACAATAGAGATGGAACCTAGAGTGGCAACGTGATACAGGAAATAACTATAAGAGAGAGGAATGATAAAGCTGCATATAAGACAGAGGCCTGTCTGGCATGTTCGACCTCCTGTGTATAAGCCACCTCTCCATTTTCAAGTAAATATTTTTGAGCAAAAGTAGCGTCTTATACATGGAAAAATAGGACAGTTTGGTTGGAAGGAAGAGTTAAAACGGCTCTTCTTTACAAGTTATCGGAGTAGATGTTTCATGATGCAAATATTCTGCGTGTGTTTGGCAAGATTTCTGCCTATACATGAGAAAGAAGAAAGGAACTACTCAGAGGTAACTCCACATGTCTTGGTTCTTGTTGGAAGTTGAGGACTAACTGTATTCCTGTGAAGGCAAGGGAAAAGTCCTAGTGGTTTTCCCTAATGTGGCACCCTTCTAACATGATGGTCATCACTTTTGCTGTCATTTTCCAAAGGCTGGGAAGTTCAATTTCATTCAGACGATCGTGTACATTGGATCAGTGCTCTCCTTCTTCGGCCTGGTAAGATACTTTCCTACTGCAGGGTCTCGGGGCGAATTCAGAGGTGAATGTCTTGCTTCAGGTTTTAAGGGTGGGGGGCGGTCTTTGTGCTGATATTTGGATGACCACCTGAGCTGTCTCGAAAAACAGCTTTGGATGCTTTTGTTGAACGGTTCTAATTCCTGGTTTCCAAATTTCAAAAACCATTCTATAAATTCGTTCTGTGTTTAGAAGAACAGCCTGTACAATCCTGCCCGTTTTTTTTTTTCTTTTCTTTTACAGGCTCAGCAAACTATCGATTGTCTGCTCAAAACAGCTAGGTGCCCCTGTTGCAAACCTAAACTAGCCAAGAAGTATTATTACAAGAAAAAGTATCAGAAGGTGCTGGGACCAAGAGATGTAAGAGTTATAACTAAATGTGACGTGTTGTCGTTCCTTATGGGCAAGGTTCTCGCTTACCACCAGGCGGAGATCTCAATTCTTCCCTTACAAAATGAACAGACCATGTTATGGTTTTAATATCCTTTGGAGACCCCTCCATGGTGGCCTATAAACTTACTAATGGCTTCAAGGCAATGTGGACAATGATGGATAAATGCTTCTTACATCACCACTGATATGCAGCACCCATGTAGCTCAGGGTTGAACTGTGGGGTCCTTGGTGCTCTCTGAACTTGGTGGTTTCCTCGTAGACATGATCCAACTAAGGGACATCTTCAGTGCTTGGAGGGAGTGGGATTTGTGGAGAGCAGGAGGAAGACTGTGGGGTTCTTGGTGCTGTCTGAGCATGGAGGTTTTCTTGCAGACGTTTCATGGCCCAACTAGGCAACATCATCAGTGCTGGGAGGGAGTGATATGATAATGCATGCAGATATGATACAAGATACGATATATGCAGAATATCCTTTCCCCCACCTCTGTTTTTGCCAACCTGAGAAATAGTTTTCTTGCATTGATGCAAGGTGGAATCTTGAGCTGTTAATAATTATGGAATATTACACTATCCTACTAAGTCTTAATTCTTTGGTTATTTTTGGCTGGAGTGTGGAAAGACTGTGTTGTACGTGACCTTTGTTGATGAGCCTGGCATCCTAATGATTGACAAATTGCCAAATATCAGTTTGCAGACCAATAAGGGCAGGATTATTGAGGTGAGTCTTCTTTAATTGGGGTTTACACAGGTATCGGCCGGGGTACCAGCCTAGAGATATGTGAATAAATTAAATGCACCCCAAGGCTTAAAGCCACAATTTAATAACACACTAAAAGCTTGGATTGTCATGGTTGTGTTTCTCTTCTCCAGTGACCACCATTCTCATTTTCAATCACAGCTACTTGCTGTGTTGTTCCAAGCTTAACGTTGCAGATAATCTTAATTTAAAGGAACCAATTTCAGCCACGTTTTATAAAGAGTTGGCTTGAGATGAATCTGTGTTTAGATCTGGATGACACACAACTGGGGTTAAGCCACAACCTACAAGGTTCTTTGTGGCTCATGCTGAGAACGGTAATCCGAGCATCAGCCATTTAGAAAAGGACTCCATTCGGCCGCCAAAGATCTTCCCAAATCCCTGAAAAAGTGGGGCTGAAACGCTGTTGCGTTGCATGGAAGGGTTTTGTTCTTAAATGGCACACGATCCCACTTCCCTTCCTTTCCAAGCGTCTCCCTTTGGAGAAAAACCACCAACCAATGTGATGTTTTTCGCCAACAGAAGCACCAAGGCGATTTCATGCCGTCTTCCCAACTTCCCTATTGGGACCGGACCATGTCCCCCCAAAACCCAGAAGAGCTGCAGCTCCTCCAAATCCGAAGGGAGGGTCCTTGCGAACGTCCTTCTTGGTGCTGCTGCGGAAAGTGCCGGCCGGCAGATCCTATTTGGGAACGGCTCTGCTGCCGAAAAACCGACGGGCCCTGCATCACCGCTTCACCTTTGTTCGTGCAGCTCGTCCTGTCCGAACCCATGCTGAAGTTCGTTCTCCTCTACAAAGATCCCTTATTGGATGTGACGGATGCTGGGCGTAAACCCTTTCGGCACTGCGCTTACGAGCAGTATATTCGCTGGCGCTTTGGCGAGGGTGACCTGGGTGCCCGGGCTGTGATCCCCAATTGTTGCCGGTGGAGAATCAGAGATGCCTTTCCAAGCGAGAATGGGGAATACCGCGGTTTTGGGAAGAAGAAGTAACCGTTGGTTGCACCTCTGTGTTACGGCGTTAAGGGTGGATACGTGAAGGGTGTGCCAATTAATCAGCTTTGCCTCCTGCTTTTCAGAAATTGCCTTTTGTGGCCCTGCCATCTTCTTGGCTCTTTAATTAGATTATTTTTAGACTATTAGATAAGGTCTGAGGTTAGTCTCAGCCATGAAAATCACCGGAAGGCTTTGTGCCTGGTTTCCCTTGCTCAGCCTTGCCTTCCTCACTTGGATATCAGGAGAGAGGCAGGATTGGAAAAGTCATTTAAAGGAGGCCAGATTCATGTTTAGGCAGCCAAACTACACACAAGCCTGTTTGTTTTTCCCAGAAACACAGCTGTGGTTTACAGGTGTGAAAGGACTCCCTTGCTAATCCAGGTAGTTTTTGTTGGCTGATCCCAACACAAAGCCACCTTTGTTTAAAAACCTCCCCTTGTTTATTTTTTAGAAGATTTATGTTCTTTATGTTGTTTTGAAGTTACTTGCACTTTCCTTTTTCTGTAACTCAGCTGTTTTTCAACTTTCTTTTCCCGTAACTCATTTCTCAGGAAATGGGGGGGAAATAACTTTCGTTTTCAACATTGGTATCTTCCTATTTTAAATATCCTTCAAAGCCTGGATATTTTCCATGCAAAATGCCTCAAGTTCAACATCTCCCACCAAGGGAGGGAGATACAGATGACAAGAAGGACTGTGCACAACTGTTCTTGAGAAGAGAAGAGAAGAGAAGAGAAGAGAAGAGAAGAGAAGAGAAGAGAAGAGAATTCTTTATTGGCCAAATGTGATTGGACACACAAGGAATTTGTCTTGGTGCATAAGCTCTCAGTGTACGTAAAAGAAAAGATACATTCATCAAGAGTCAAGAATCATCAGGTCCAACACTTAATGATAGTCACAGGGTACAATAAGCCATCAAATCATACTAGGAAACAGTCCATATAAATCGTAAGGATACAAGCGACAAAGTTACAGTCCTACAGTCACAAGTGGGAGGGGATGGGCGATAAGGAGTGATGAGAAGATTAATAGTAATAGTAGTGCAGACTTTGTAAATAGTCGGGGACATTTCCTCTTTTTGCACGTTTCTTAGGGACTAGCGCCTGGAGTGTCTATTTAACCCCCTCCAGAAATGAGTTTTATAGATCTAGGGAGAAAGTTGAACCTGTTGAACAGCTGCCTGGGTCCACTTTGATTTCCCCAGCAAAGGAGGAATCTCTGCTGGAAAGGAAAATAAATCTTTTTTCAGTGAACAGCATGATTCCAGGTTAACACATTTCCATTACAAACTTGACTTAGATTTCATATTCATCTTTCACATTTGTTAACTTATCTTAAACTTACTTTATATATTTTATTTAATTTTAATCTACAAGCTTTTCCCATCTTTTTATAATTTTTCCAATACATTGCTTGATCTATTTCTTTAAATCCTTAATACATCATTATATGTTTTCATATTCATTATATTTTATCTTCTTATTGTGTCAGGTCTGCAGTTTACTTATCTATTACTTCATCATTCCAGCAATTCACCCATTTTCAACATGATGATGATAATAATAACAACAACAAAAATACAACACCCCTATTTGCCAATTCCAAGGTGCCCTCGCTGTGGTTAGACATATCACATAATTAATCCCCCCCCCCCCCCAAGATTCGATTGGCAAATCTTGAGCCAAACTCTTCCCCCCACAACGCCCCGGATCTCCATTCCCCTTATCAGCAATTTGGCTTTTAATCTTTTCCCTCTAATGCCAAACAATGTTTGTGCAGGGAAAAGTCACATTTCCTACTCCCGGTTTGTCCCCGGAAGAAACACGCCAGCCTTGTGTCCTTCCCTTCCTTCCCGCCTTCAACTATTATTATTCCCTGAAGTTAAACTTTTGAAAAGTGAGGTTTTCCCCAGTAGAAGGCTCTTCAAACTTGGCAGCTTTAAAACTTGTGGGCTTCCAACTCCCAGAATTCCTGAGCTGACATGACTGGAGGAGGAGGAATTCTGGGAGGCGAAGCCCACAAGTCTTCAAGGTGTCAAGTTTGGGGGACCCCTCTCCCAGTATTTGAAAAGTCTGAGTGGCTCCTCTAAGTAGCCTTAAGCTTCTTTTAGGGGTTTCAAAGGGCAGCTCAAAAACGAAAGTAAAGGGAAGCTTGTCCAGGTTTTTGGCTTGGTTGTGCAAGAGTTTGTTCCTCAAAGCTTTTTAGATACTCAGTGAGTTAGCAATACATAAACTGTTGGCAGGATTCCGCTCTCACTCCCGGGTCAAGGGAGGGTCAGATTGGCCCAGCAGGTCTACCTCTCGGGAAGGCAGTAGTAGCAGCAGGATGGAGGGGAAGTGGGGTTCATTGCAGCACCCCCTCCCCAGAGAGGCTCACAGGGTCCTTGGCTGAGCAGGTTGGTCCTCCTCTTCCTCCAACTCAAAGTTCAGTGGGGGGGGGGCTCTGCCCCTCAGACCCTCAAGCCCAGGTGCCTCTTTAAGGTGGAGGGCAACTTATGTGGCCTCTCAGGGGTGCTAATTTGGCCCTTCTGGTCTTATGGACCTCCAGCTCTTTGGCCACTCAGAGCCCCCCTGCCCTTCAGTCTGTATTATGTCAGGTCAGACGCCTTTTCTCTGGCCTCTTCTGGCCTCCAGCCCAGATGTATCTGGAGGGGCTTCAGCTCTATGGTCTCAGAGCTGTTGCTCTGGCCTTTGGTCTTCCTTTTGCGGGGGGGGGGGTGCACCTCTTTTGCCTCCCACTCCCTCCCCAGCAACTTATTCATATTTTTATTTAATTTATATGAACATCCAGCTCACTTGTCAGTGACTCCAGCAAAAGCTTTTGGCCCCTCTGGGCTGCTTGTTTGGCCTCTTCAGGCCCTTCTGGCCCCTTTGGACCTCCAGCTCTTTGGTCCCTCAGGACCCTCATGCCTCTTCCCACCCACAATCCAGGGTTTCTGCTCTGGCCTCCTCAGCCTCCAGCCCAGATGCCTCTGGAGGGGCTTCAGCTCTATGGCCCCACAGAGCTGCTGCTCTGGCCTCTTTGGTCCTCCAGCTCTTTGGCTCCTTCTGGTCTCTTCAAGACTTCAGCCTGGAGGGGCTTCCAAGTGCCCGAGATGCCCAGCCGGGAGTGACTTCTGCCCCTTTGGCTCCCCCTCAGGGCTGCTGCTCTGGCCTCTTCCAGCCCTTCTTCAGCCTCCAGCCCAGATGCCTCTGGAGGGGCTTTGGCTCTTCTGGCCTCTTCAGCCTTCAGGGGCTTCAGCTGCCCCAGTTGCTCAGAGGCTCAGCAGGGAGTGACTGGGTGCCTTTGGAGGGGATTCAGCTCTTTTGCCCCTCAGGGCTGCCCTTCCTGCTTCCTCCTCCGTCCTCTTCAGCTCTCTGAGAGATGCCCTTGCCTGCTGCCCCTTTTATAGCCCTTTGTTTCCCGCCAAAACAGCCGATTGGTTACCCACTTTGGGGGGGCTCCGCTGTTTCATTGGCTCTTCACCCAGCCACCCAGCCCCAGTTTTCTCAGATGGTCCCTCATTGGCTGGAAATGCCCGCATCTTGAACTGCATGGTTTTTTATATTTTTTCCTCAGTTCAGTGTTGATGCCTTCCTGGCTGTAAATCTTTTCCCAGCTGACTGGGCTTCTGACAGACCTTGGAGTGAAAGCACCTTGCTGTAAATGTCTATAAATCTCACAGAAAAGTAAAAGCACCACAAAATTCTTCAGTAACAACTTGATATTTAACTTCTGGGGACGTCACCCTATACTTTAAGAGGCTCCTAAGGGGGGCCTGCATAAGTGCATGAACATGCCAATTGACCTTGCCACATTTTAGTTTTTTTTCAATTTGTTTGTTCAAATTTGTAATTTCTGTTTGACGAATAAATAAAATAAAATCTTTCTCATCATCATAGATTCAGCAAGGCCACTCTCCTAGACAAGCTTATTCCTTAAATGAAAAATACACAATATTGTCATTAAAATAGATGGTGAGATAAAGTACAGAGACAAGATAAGCCCTATCTCTCTGTCTCTGTCTCTCTCCCTCCCTATCTACCTACCTACCGACCTACGTACCTTCCTATCTTATCTCCATCATCTATCTATCTATCTATCTATCTATCTATCTATCTATCTATCTATCTATCTATCTATCTATCTATCATCTTATCTGTATATTGGTCTATCATGTATCTGTCAATCTATCTATCTATCTATGTCTGTCTGTCTGTCTCTGTCTGTCTGTCTGTCTATCTCTATCATCTATCTATCTATCTATCTATCTAAGCACTAAGCACTAAGAAATTAAAGTAAAATATACAAGCTCAGACCCACATGGTATCTAAATCCATTTTCTTTCTCTCTGAGGCAATCCTATTGAAAAATTCTTCCTCTTCCTTGCAGTTGGGTCTTTGTATGGGAAAAAGGTTACCAAGAAACCGACTCCGTGGTGAGCTCGGTAACCACCAAGATGAAAGGTGTCACAATGACCAACACCTCCAGCTTAGGACCCCAGATTTGGGATGTGGCCGATTATATGATTCCATCTCAGGTGAGTCCATGGGGGACCAATGTTGTGGTTTTGGCAGATTAGAAGGATTCCTTTCCTTAATCTCTACTAACAGAGTGCAATGGATCTCTTGGTTTGCAACCTCTACTTCTTGTTATGAGCAACTTCAGAGGATGATGTTTGGTTTCTATGAGAAGGCACTGATATTTTTTAGCTACCATGGTAGCAACACTGAGTGAAATACAAGATAAGTGGAGAAATGTTTGTCCATCTGTCTCCAAATTGTCTCTGCAAGCTCATAGTTGTATTCGCTCCAGAATTCCTTATCTACTAGTAGTCTACATTTTTCTCCCTACAACATGTACTTAACCCCAGGATAAGTATATTTAAATTAATCTTTCACTTCTCATGGAAACAGATGGTCCTATCTAAATGATGACACTTTCCAGCAGCTGAACAGTGGCTGGAAAAATGTGGATTTGTAAGTAATGAGCGGTGAAATGTTTTTCCTGTATTCTGCAGAGATGCATCTTTAATTCAACAGGTGCTTTGATCCTAAAGGAAGGAAGTCTTAATGCTGCATTTTCAGGCTTTAAAGCCAAACGTTTTCACTATTTCAGCTCATTTTTCCATCCTGTTTCTTTCCTCTCCTTTAGGCTGAGAACTCGGTTTTCATCATGACAAATATGATCATCACGCTGAATCAGACCCAAGGGCTTTGTCCAGAGGTAGGCTTATTGTCAGATTTTGTGTATCTTTTCTCTGAGAAAACAAAAGCACGGGTGTTTAAATTGGGATCAGAGTTCAGAAAAGGCCAGGAGATCTTATCTAGTCTACATCCCAGGTATCATTTGCCTTGTGTGCACTGGGAGCGATGTGCAGAGGTGTAGGATAAATGGATAATTGTACAATTTCTGTAAGTTGCAGAATATCTAAGTTACAACAGCACTGGAAAAAAACCGACCTACGACCAGTCTTCAAAATTACACTGCAGCATCTCCACAATCAAGCGATCAAAATACGGATGCTTGGCATTCAGCATTGACTTAACAACTGCAGTGTTTTGCTTAAGGACTGTGACAAAGAAGGGTTGTAAGATTGGGTGCGACTGTCACTGGACAACTGCCTTCCTTAGAAATGGAAATTGCAGTCCCCATTGTGGTCGTAAGTCGGGGACCACCCATATTTTTCAAGGCACTGGTAGCCGAAGTCAGCAGGGCGTTCGAAGAGAACTTTGAACTGCAGGCCAGATAACAGATTCTTTGTTTATCTCTTTGCTGCTCTTCCTATCCAGTTCCCAGATAAGACCACCACGTGCAAGTCAGATGCAGACTGCAAAAAAGGCTATGTCGGCACCCACAGCAACGGTAGGGGCCGTGCTTTGGATCTTGAGGGTCTCCCCTCCCCTTGAAAGCCTCTTTGGAGGAGGCGACAACCTTTCCAGCAGAAATTTTACAATGAATGTTGCTTGCGAAATGTGAAATGGAACTGAACAGAAAATATTGTTTGGAGTTTCAGAAGTGATGCCTGGATAACATCTTATATGGGACTCGCCATGGGGTGAAGTTTAAGGCTTCCCCTTGCTGTCTTTGAGATGATCCCAGCTTCCTTCCAACTTTTTGATGTCCCTTCTGTATCCCTTCAGGTGTTCAGACCGGAAAATGCAGAGTGTACAACCTTACAGATCCCTCCGTTAAAACTTGTGAGGTCTTTGCTTGGTGTCCGGTGGAGAATGATAGGAACTTACCCAAGTAAGCATCTGAGAGGAGGAAGAGGAGGAGGAGAAAGGCAATGGCAGGATGTGGAAGGCAACTCTTCCTAGAAACAGCACCTTGCTGAATTCTTTGATGATGCCAGCTCCTTATCTTTATGTCTGGAATTACAATCCTGGCTTATGCTTGTATCTCACTCAGGTTCTAGCAGGAAAACAAAATCAACTGTCCAAATAGTGTCTCAAAGGTGCTTTTTCAAAGGGTACCTGGATTGTGGGGTTTTTTTCCTTGAGGAAAACATTTCGTCTTTTGAAAAAAACACCTTTGAGATAACCAGGACCTTGATGACTGAGAATCTCATAGACATTTGTTCAAGTGGTGCTATTTTGCAAGATTAATTGTGGCTTGTCCAAGAAAACTGAACTAAAACAGATCTTGGTTTAGTGTTTAGCAAACCCTGCCCTCACATCTCATTGGATCTCAAAGTTCTTTTTGAAAGGGTGATGTTGGGTTTGAAATCAAGGTGTTTTATGGCGATGGGTAAGAATTAAAACGTTGGCTATAATGAAATCGGATTTTTTTCACAAATACTTTTTCTTTCATCTCCCTCTCTTTTGCTCAATCGCTGCCAGGCCAGCTTTCTTGCGGGATGCTGAGAACTTTACCCTCCTTGTGAAGAACAGTATCTGGTACCCAAAGTTCAACTTTACAAAGTATGTGTATTTTTTAAAAAAATCTCTTTTGGCTAGAGTTGGGGCTAGGGGGAGAAATTTAGGGAGTATCAGGACTCCAACAAATCCACCCCCATTGCTGGAGTCCTGACAGCCAGCCGATACTAAAATACATCATTCATTTCCCCCTTGACCCTGGTCTTCCCCCCACCCCCTGGGTGTATATTCTCCAATGGGACACATCCATAGCCAAGAGTCATCGATCATGCTCTCCAGTAATAATCTTGCACTCCGACAACTTTGGGCTGCCAGGGTGATTATCTAGGCACTTAAGGAATGCACTGTTTTCTCCCGCTCCGTGTTTCTGATGCAGACTCGATAGTATGCTTTTCTGAGGTCTAATTTGGTATACTCCTTTGGTCTTTTTAGCTGCCAGGGGGCTAGGTGGGTTATGCAAAATGGCTCCGTGAAACACCGGCACCATTTTGATGAAAAGACAGTTGAACCAGTGAGAAAGCACAACATATACAAAGCGATGATAGACCTATTTGAGGGTTGCTTAGCACCTGAACATGGACTCCTTTGGGGTGCATAAACCCATAAACCTCTTCTCTTATAGGAGAAACATTCTTCCCATCATCAATCAAACCTACCTCAAGGACTGTAAATACAACATCAAAACTGATCCCTTTTGCCCGATTTTTCGCCTCGGGGACATAGTTGAAGCTGCTGGTCAGAACTTCCAAGAGATGGCCATTGAGGTGGGTCTAAAAATGCATTGGGCCTGGAAAGGAAGAGCAGTTTCATTTGACTTGGGTTTTCCTCGCTTTCTGCCAAAGGCAGCACTTAATGGCTTGACGTATTGAAGGGAATTCAGAGCTGACCCACCAAAATCCTTTGAAATTTGGAGCGATCAGCTGCATCGGACAGGTGCCGGTCAAGGGTGGTAGTAGCCTTTGCGCCTCTTTGATTATGTCCTTTTGCAGGGTGGTGTGATGGGCCTGCAGATCCGATGGGACTGCAACTTAGACAGGTCGGCTTCTCGCTGTGTGCCGAAGTATTCCTTTCGACGAATTGACCAGAAGGATTCTGCTCATTCCATTTCCCCAGGATACAACTTTAGGTAAGGCCGTTCGAACAGACAAAGCTGGAAGTTGGTGATGGGACATCACAGCTGGAACTGGGTGACTTGATGGCTCCAGAGGCTCATTTCATTTTTGCACCAAATGCAGATGCTTTTAAACTCTGGAGAATTTCATATCTGACATGATTTTTAACTGTATTTTGTTTTGTGTTTTTATTTTTATGATTTCCCCCTGGTTATTTTTACAGCTATATGCCGAAGTCGTTGAAGGTGCTACTGCTAGATAATGTGTAAAATATATTTACGAGTTTGTTTTAGCTGGGAGAAACTACTTGAAGTGGTATTTTGATTTTGTATGAATGTAGCAAGTGACCTATAATTGACTAAACTTTTACTGAGAAGGATATTATTTTGTAATAACTGTGAAGTTCTTGTGTTCTATACGTGAATGGCCCATCAATCTTAGGAAGGTAGTGAAATTTAAAATATTTTATTTTTTTGGGGGGGGGGGGGGGGCATATTTCTAGCATAGAAATGTTGCTGTGATGGTATCATAACCATTGGATTGAATTTTACTTATTTTCTCTGGTTTAGGTTTGCAAAATACTACCGGATCCCTCCCAGTATTGAGTATCGGACACTCATCAAGGCTTATGGCATACGCTTTGACATTATGGTATTTGGCGAGGTAAGTTTTTTTGGAAATTGTATGATGTTTTGTAACTCTTGGAAAGTGGTTTCAGTTGAGAAATGTTGCTCTAAGCCAATGGTTGCCAACTGGAGGGCCATGGCCCACCGGTGGTCCGCGAGAAAATTTGGGTGGTCCGCAGAGAAATGTCACCCCCCGAGCACCTCCCAAAGCAATCCAGTCTGCACGGGAGCACAGCTAGTCTTTAGATTTTCGACTCTGCTTAAAAGCAGAGCCAAACCTCCCTTAGGACTGAAGGTTCTATTGTTCAGTGCAGACTCAGGTAGCCGATGGCAGACACATAAATCTCTAAGTGAATCTGTGATTCTGTGAGTAACTCAATCTGCCTGCCTGCTTTGCCTAATTTTGGGTAAAAGTTGCTCTTTTTTATATAAAAAAATATTTACATAAATATTTATAATATTTACATACAAGCCATGTCCAGCCAGTCACATGACCACCAAGCCACACCCACAAATTTAGGCCATGCCCAAGAACGGGTTGTTAAGAAATTTGAATCCCACTCCTGCCTGTGTGTGTGTGTGTGTGTATGTGTGTGTGTATGAGAGAGACAGAAGGAGAGAGAGAGGGAGAAAAAGAGGTTAAATCAGATCGATCTCTCCCACCAATATCAGCAAGCCACTGTCAGTCAAAATTCATATTAGTGGTCCCCAGGATTTAAAATTATGAGTTTGGTGGTCCCTGAGGTCCAAAAGGTTGCTGACCCCTGCTCTAAGCCATTAATCATGACACATAAACCATCAATAAAGTCACACATGGCAACAAGCCAGACTACAGCTTTAGTTCATTGTATGAGTTGAAAATAGTATACAGACAGTCTCTGCAGCGTTCTTAAGGAGATGTAATATTTTGCTTCTATTCATATGTCTCAGGCTGGGAAGTTTGATATCATCCCTACTATGATCAACATTGGATCTGGCTTCGCCCTATTTGGCGTGGTAAGAAACTCTTTTTCTAGAGCAATTTTTAAAAATGTTCCTGGTCTTTGGAAGATTTCATTTCTCAAAATGAATTCCTTGAAACCTCATCTAGACCACCATCCTCTGTGATATCATTATCCTGTATTTTATGGAGAAAAGATACTACTACAGAGAGAAGAAATACAAATTCGTGGGAAATTACGAACTGGTAAGCTTGCCACTTCCCTTTGGTTTTATATGGTTTTTGCCCTTTGTACCCAAGCCACTAAATTAAAAACGATATTCTCCTATTTATGGGTGTTAGCTTTGGCCTTCAGAAGTAGAGAAAGTTAATTGCAGACTTGTCAGTGGGATTGCTTGTGGTCTCTCCAGATTGCCCAAGAATTATAATGTATGTGTGTGTGTGTGTATGTGAGAGAGAGAGAGAGAGAGAGAGAGAGAGAGAGAGAGAGAGAGAATATCAGTGTTGAATGAATCCAGGAATCTTGTTAAACAAAGAAGCTAAACTGTTTTCACGGAGTGATCCATTTTCTATTAATTGCTAATCTGTCAATTTGGGAGGAAAATGTCAGTCTTAATTCTGGGGTGTCCAAGTGTGGTAACTTTAAGACTTGTGGACTTCAACTCCCAGAATTCCCCAGCCAGCTACGTTTGGACACATTGGTTTCTCCCATCCTAAAAGCTGCCTTTGTTTTAGCAGGGAGACCATCCGTCGTATGCATCCCAGACAGATGTTCAAGACGACTCCACAACGCGGTGATTCTTCTTCAAACAGATCCTGCTCATTTCACCCAGCCGAGGGAGGTCTTTCATCGGCAAGTTGGACCTGGATTTTCTCCTTGGGAAAGAGCGGATCTGTGATTTTCCCCCGTCCCTCCTGGGCTCTGTCCAGCTTTGCTTCCGTTGGTGGCCTCCTGGATCAACCTCGAGATTCGCCCGAGGAAAGCAACGTCCTCCTGAAAAACCTTCAACGCTTTTTTGGGCGCAGGGCCTGCCAAGCTTCGAGTAGTCCGAGATAATTTTGCATCGGATCTTCTATGTGCCTTTCCCACCGTCCAGTTCATGCACAGATGGGGTGCAGGGCGAGGTGTTGGGACCAAGACAACTTCTTTAATATTTCTAGAATTGCCCGTTTCTGATGGGCTCCCCTTTGTTACGTATCGCGCCCCTCTTCATTTGGAAAAGGTGGAAAGGTATCACTTGTTTAGACACTTGTCTTCCATGGTCACCCTTTTAAAAAGAGCCACTTGGTGCAATTTGCAGTCTCTATTTTTGAAATGAAGCAGATCTTGAGAATTCCCGCCCGACTGTAATCCCAACCTGAAGATCCCCAGGATATTAAATAAATGCGACCTGTTGACGGGTCAACCTCTCCCTCTCCAGCTTCTACTACTATGTTCCTACTGCCCTGTTTATAGCGACGCAAATTTAATATATAACTGAAAAGAGAATGGTACTTTCCCTCTTTTAGGAGACAGGGGTAAGGCAGTTTCGATGAGAAGGATCTATTTTGCCGGAGAAAATAAAGGCATTGGGAAATATGATTTCTATCGCTTTTTTCCCCTTCATGTTAGTGAATGGTTGAGTTTGAAAATAGAGTGTCAAAAAAATACACCCATAATGAGAGTGGGAAGAGGGAGTGAGGGAGAATGAAGGAAGGAGAGAAAGACAGACAGGAAGGAAGAAGGAAGGAAAGAGAAAAAGAAAAGAAGGAAAGAAAGAGAAAGAGGATATAAGTATTGATCTGGGAAGGTCTATTGAACATGAGACTAACTTCTGAGCAAATTTACGTAAGTCTACAATTTCAGCCTCTTCTGAATTCTCTACTTTTTTAGCCTGAATACAGAAAGCAGTCCTTAAAAAGTCTTTTTAAATGTGTATTTACCAGAAAGGTTAAATGCATTATGGTCAGATACCTCATGAAAGTGGAATGCATAGTAGGAAGCTGGAAGCTAGGAGGGCTGTAATCTAGTAGAAACTTGAGGCATTCATTGCTGATATAAAAAATAGCAATTGTCAGGGATTCTTCAGCAGCAAAAGGTAGCCAAGCCTTATAAAAAAAATGGCTTGAAAGACTTCACATTCCTGATTCTTAAAGTAGCATCATCACAAACGGCTTTACAGACACGCTGCAAACACAAAAATCAAAATTACTCCATCCAATGCTTCTTCATAACCCCACTCTCACCATTTCTTCGCCCACAATTCACACTATTCCTGGCAGTATTTCCACTGTTGCAGGTAGCAGCAAACATAACACAGCCCCCCCCCCCCCCCCCGCATTTGCCCTTTAGCTTTTACAACCATGAATGTTACTGTCTCACAACCCCGTGGGGTTAGAATAAGAACAATGCTATGTTCCAAATGACTTGGCTTGCACAGAAGGAACCTGCCGGAAATATTCTGATGCACGTGTTTTTTTTTTTCCTTTTTCTTATTTAATGGAATGAAAACTTTATCTTTTTTTTTAAACATGTTTTTTTTTTTAAATGAAAAAAAAAAAAAGAACCACAGCAGCCTTTCCATGCGTTAATTCTTGGCTGCTTTTTTAAAAAGCAGATGCAAAGACTTGAGTGAGCCGTATAACTTCCGAGCGAGGTTAATCTGTGAAAAAAGATTAGGGGTGAGGTTCATAGTATGTCGAGATCCCCTATGAATTGGTTTTAACAACTGTTCCCTCACTTAGGAGCTGTGACTCTACTGGAATACATAATGCTGAAGTGTGGAGGAAAATAAAAGAACTACTCTTTATACGCGAATCGTAAAAGTGCTCAGCAGCAAAAAATAATAATAATAATCTGGTTTTGGTTTAAATCCTTGGGAGTCTTGGAAAAACCGCAGAATCTCTACATCCATCCTTGAAAGTTATTTGACTATGAAAACATGCCAGCAAGCACCGGATGGCTACCATTTATAAAACCCTGAATTTTGGGAATGTAGCTGTACAGTCACACAGGTATAAAGTATAGAATTATGATCAGTGAATACGAGCCTGGGCTTTGCCAGCCAAACAGACCACGGCACCAAACAAACGCATATTGGCAATTTGTGCTTCAACGCAACCGCGCAAACCATCTTCAAATGCAAATTGGCGATGCACGTCCCTTCCGTCTTTTCGCTCCCGACGAAGGAAAAACTCAAGAATCTTCCAAAACTCGCTCTTAAAATAAAACTCAATTGCCTGCTCACAAAAAATGAAGCGTTCTGCAAATACCCCCTAACCCCTTAGTGTGAGATTGGTTTGGTTTCCATGCAATAAAAAGGATAGCAATAATAATAATTATTTTTTTTAAAAAAAGAAATCCCCCCTCCCCAAAAGCAAGCATTTTCTTGATCCTCGTTTGGCAGTAAAGCACCGTGGTTTAGCCGCCCGTTGATATATTTAAAAAAAAGAAAAAATTAAATCGGACCGTGGTTTTTGCAAAGGGTTCGGCCTGAGTAGATGTCGCTTTTCTTTCCAAACTCGGTTTCATTTTGGGTGAGTTTCTTTGTTTTGCTTTTGTATTTTCTCCCCGGAAATTCGGCATGAGACTTCCCAGAGCACCAGCCACCCTGAAGAGGATCATCCTTCTCGGTTCCCAAGTCCTGTCCTTCAACAGCAGAGATCTTTCTGGAAGGTGAGAGGATGGGTTCGGATCTGTACAGCATGCTGTCACAAAAACTCTTTACATTCGGTATTTAGACAATGAACCAACGTCGTGGAAGGCAAGCCGGCCCCATTGCAGGATGCCCTCTTCTCGCAGACCCTGCTTGGAGCCCCCTTTCCAGGAAGGGCAAAGGGTGGGGTGTGTTTTTTTCTTCTTCTTCAAGAAAGCAGTTCGTCTTCGCTGACGTTTGGCAGATCGTTTGTGGCACGGAAAGCCTCTTCGCTGCTTTGTTTTCTGCTTTGAAAGGAAGACAAAAGATTGTCAAAGCCAAAAAGTTTTGTCCTTAACTCAAAGGAAGGAAAGATTGTAATGCTTTGGTGGGGGGAGGGGGGAGCGATGATAAATTTTATTTCATTTGGATGGCTTGCTCCCTGTAGGAAGGAAAATCTGGGGGAATTTTCTCCAACCCCACTTTTTCAAGTTTTAAGAGATGTTCAATCTCAAGGAGAAAAAAGGAAGGAAGGAAGGAAGGAAGGAAGGAAGGAAGGGAAGGAGGAAGGACAATAGGAAGAGAAGAAAGGATGGAAGGAAATAAGGAAGAAAGGACAGAGGGAAGGAAGGAATGGAAGGGAGAGAGGAAGGAAGGAAGGAAGGGAAGGAAGGACAAAAGGGAGAGATAGAAGGAAGGAAGGAAGGAAAGAAGGAAGGAAGGAAGGAAGGAAGGAAGGAAGGAAGGAAGGAAGGAAGGAAGGAAGGAAGGAAGGAAGGACAAAAGGGAGAGGGAAGGATGGAAGGAAAGAGAAGAAAGGACAGAAAGAAGGAATGAAAGGGAAAGAATGACGGAGGAAGGAAGGAAGAACAAAAGGGAGAGAGGGAAGAAAGGAAGGAAGAAATGGAAGGGTGGGAGGGAAGCTATGCACTTACATCAAGTAAGTCTGTCGGTCTGGTGCAGACAGACCTCTTTCTTCTCTTCTACTCCCTTCAAACGGATTCCCAAAAGATCTTTTCCTGATCATGGATTTTACCAGGATCTGAGAAGAGAAGATATTTCCGCATTGACGTCAAGCCGTCCTCAAATCACAACTTTCCCAATTATGACGGAACGAGCAGGTTCTCTTTTTCCCATCCATCTCCTTTGTTGCCACGGTCCTTGGAGATCTCTCGTGTTTATTGTAATTATTAAATATATCAATTCAGAGGATCTTTCCAAGATAGAGAGGTGAATGCCTTTCACCTATGATGAAAAAACTTCCCAAGGAGGGAAGCCAACTCCTGGTCTCAGGGATCTTAACAAGCCAGAAATAGACCCAAAGGGAAGGGATAAATATGGCACAGGTATTTCTGAAAAAGACTCTCGATTTTAAAAGAAAGGTGAAGACTGCATTACAGTGAAATTAAAAACTAGGCAGTGGGTAACTCTGTCAAAGAACGGCAGGTAAAATCCAGAATTATTGGGGAGTTTGGCTTGGCTTAGGATTTTCTTAAAAGTTGCATCCACTTCTCTGCACACAACAGCCCTTTTGTGCATTAACAGGGTATACAGATAGTCCTGGACTGTTCATTTAGTGACTGTTCCAAGTTACAATGGCACTGACTTAACGACTGTTTTTCACCCCATGGTCACGTGACCAACATTCAGAAGCTTGGCAGCTGGGTCCTGTTTATGATGGTTGCTATGACGTTGTAACTTGGAACGGTCACTAAATGAACCACACTCTTGAAAACAACTAGGCAGCCTTCATCAATCTCTTGCACAGGGTAAATCTAGAATTCGGCCAGCTGAGTCCATTATTCCCATTTGAAGCTCTTAAGTCAGCCCTCCGGCTCTCCGCAGAGACCAATAATGGTTTCATGGCAAAAGCCATTACCGAAATTGGAGATGATTTGAAAGACGTCGGATCGACACTCCACAAAGGCTGGCGGTGCGCCAACTGCGGGATGGGATATTCGAAGCCCACTCACCACGGTGGCTAAGCTGGGGATGTGCTTGATCGAATTCTCCACCTCTTCTTCCGTCACCTCGATGAGCGTGCAATTTTCATCTTCGGTGGGCAGCGGTTCGGTGCCATTCTTGGTGACCCACAGATGCAGCTGGGGGCACGGATAAGGTGGGGGGAGGGAGGGAGGGAGAGACAAGCGTTAGCAGCTCGTTTCAGAAAAGCCGATTGTAAAGACGAACGAATATAGATACAGAAAAGTGAGGCAATGAAATGAAGTTAAAAAGGAAAAAAAGAGGGGAAAAAAATACCACCCTAAGGAGTATGGCGCTTTGGCACATATCAAAACTTCCCATCTCCACTACATTTAGTCTCTACTGTTTTCAGGAAACGGAGGCTGGCCATGAAGTTACCTTAATTTCTGGGATGGTGATCCTGAATTCGGGTTTTTTATCCAGCATCTGGGTTATTAGATCCTTCAGTTCGTCAGAAATGTCTGGTCTTGGATGAGAAAGAGAGAGAGAGAGAGAGAGAG